CCGCCGAGCAGGTTGTCGAAATTCACCGAAGTTCCTTGCTATTCGAGGTACGCGTTTACAAAGGTCGTAAACATGCCAGTTAACGTGCAACCTTTTCAGGGGGAGTCAGCGCTGACCTGTTCCCAAGCTGCAGGCCTCAATTGATCCTTTGAAAGGGAGACGGCTTCAGACATCTCGAAGTCCCAGGTGCCAACGTCTCGCGGGGCTTTGGCGATCATCACCTGCTTGGAGATCCAAACACACAGAGCTTCCGAGCTCAACATGGAAGGGCTTTTCACGGAGTGAAAAGCTGCCAACGCCTCGTTAGGCAACTGGAAAGCAGCCACCAGAAACCACTGACCCCAGGCATAAGGCGAACCTTAAACTTGAGAGCATGACGGACGGCAGCTATTGTGCCGCGACTCTTCACTTGCTGGGCAAAAAGCACTGCAGGAGTTAGCACGCACTCCCAGAAACTGCTTGCGCCTGAAATGTCTCATCTCAACACACCAAAATTCCGCAGGACTTGAAGCTTGCTCCCACGATGTCTCTTACTGGTGGATTAAAGAAGATCCGGGTGCCTCTTTCTGACATGGGGTTTGCTCTGATTCACCGAGATTTCAGGCAAATCTTGCGGCCAAACCTTAAAAACGATGATGAAGAGATTAAACCTTGAGGTACTTGAAGCTAAGCTTTGCCCAACAAACAAAGGTTGCTTGAGGAAACAAATGCAAGCTCCAAGCAGCCAGCTTCCGTGATTATGCACTCGGGCCATTCTGCGCCAAAAGGCATCTTTGTGCGGTCTAGAGGGCTCAGCAAGCAAGTGCTGCCAAGCTTCTGGATCTGTTTGATGACTTCTGGCCCTTCGTGTCCTGACTGCTTCCATGCAGTCACGTTGCTTTTTCTGTCACTTAAGCCGCTGATGCCTCGTGTAGTTTGCGATGGTCTAGCGCCCTCTCGCCGGACGGGGTGGTTGTAGAAGTGGCGTCCTCAGTCTGCAAGAAAATGCAACTTCAAAGCAACAATGCCTTTCTGCGTGGTCCACCCAATTTCAGGACATCAGGATCTCATGCGTTCCAAGGAACAGATGGCAACCTTGGAAGTCCTTGCAACGTCACAGTCTCTAACCTACTTCAGGGCAAGCCAAGGCCAACAACTGCTGCCAGGTCTTCAGCACTTGTACAGCAGGAGGGGTGTTGGATGTTTACCAAGCATACAAGAATGACAAAGGCAGGTGTGACGCAAGCACGAAGCCTGATGTTCTTGTACAATGGCCTCACAGGTGTAGTGAGCGGAGTAAGCGGAAGTACACCAACCAAGAAAGCAGCAGATCTATGCGCAATCCCTCCGCTCGCCTTCGGGCTAGGGCGTGGCCCTGAGGGCGCATAGCTATGCACACGACTCTTTACGTGAGGGAGGATTTAAAGATGCGCCGCACTGAAAAGGAATGACCCCAAACGGGCAACACAACCTCGGCCTGATCCGCGCGCTCTTGTCTTTGCATCAAACAATCAGTCTGCAGTCATAGGCATGGTGCCATGCAACAAAAAGATAGTATCTGGTCATCTTCTGAATCCAAGCGGCGCTGCTGAGGTGAGCTTCGCACAGTCTCAACCAGAGGCTGCTTGGCAATTGCAGACCTCGGCTAGCGCAATTCGACAAATCCAAAACTCGTCCTTGCCATGCTTCAGGCGCACAAACAGCATGAGGGGAGATGGTTACCCTTCTACGCTTCGCCAAAGTTCCGCGTCCATTCGCAGAGCTTCGGCTTGGAGAAGAAGGGCGGCAGATCTGGGAGAGGCTGCTCCTGAAAGCCAAAGGTTTCGGGATGCAGAAGAGCCAACCTGAATGAAAAAAGAAATGGAAACTACTATAATATATTGGGGCTATATTGGGATGATGGAAATCAAATGGAAACTACTATAATGGTTTGTATAGGGTAATATAGGGGTTCTAGGTTATAGAATCGGGCTTTACAAGGCGAGAACTTAGCCATCTGCACCCTTGCGTGACTACCAGGGATTCTTTGATGCAATCACCCATGACGCCAATGAAGCTGCCGAGCCACAATCTGCTTGGCAAGCGGGCATTGCAGCACTTTGTCCTTAATCCAATCCTCCTAATTAACGTTAAAACCTCCACCACCCCCCTAAATATTAAATACTCCCAAAATATTTTAATATGCTATGTACTACATCATGGGAGTGTTTAGTATTGGGGGGGTGCAGGGGGGGCTGGGGGCGGGGGATGGGATTAGATGGGGCATCACGAATGCGCGCCGAAGCCTCGCCTTCTCAAGATTCTCCGAGCTGTCTTAAAATGAGGGGTCTGTCTATTACGGGTACCTGCTTGGGGGTCCCTCTACTAAGGATTATGTTATTTTGGGTCTATATTAAGGTCCCCTATTTGGGGAAATTAGCGTCTAGAATCGGGCTTTACAAGGCTTCTGTGGCGCAGGCTTCGTGAGAATCCAGCAAATCTCTACAACATAAACTCAGGGTTAAATCTAAATCAAACAAAGCCGCCCAGGCGTCTTGAGCAGCGGTTGCAAAAGCCTAGCGGTCCATTACGTTTGACAGCAACAAGCGTATAGGAATGAAGCCGGCCAGAATGATACGAATGCCCAACACGCTAAAGATCATGAGTAATCGAGGAAGGCAGATCATGCAGCTTTTAGGAAGGAATGGAATGCCACCAGACGCTGCAAGCCCCAACTCGCCTCACAACCAGCCCAGAGTGCCGCACAGGAATCAGAAGCAACGGCCACAGTGTCATAGTCGGCACCTGTAACTTTGACCAGAAGGAATAGCAGGACGTACAAGAGCCTCAAACCTCCCTGCAGGCTCTTACAACAAGGGTTTGTGGTAATTCGCTACTGTTCCTACCGAGCGCTTGCTGCAAGGGCCACACTTGCGTTGTGCTACATCTGGTGTGCAATCTTACCTGCTGTGCCTCATGTCACGTCAGCAAAGCCAGGCCTACCAAGAAATGCTCCTCCTCATCAATCTTTGCTGCGGGCAGTTCTGACTTGTACAGGTATGTTTCCTCAGGGATGCAAGGTGGCATGACCATGGGGTAGAAAAGGGATGCATGCTCAGTTGATATCAGCGCATGGCCAGCATCGGTCATGGTAACAACCCACGATGTGAAACTTCCAGCACCAAACGGCAGTGGAAATTCTCGTGTGCAGCCCCCATTAGCACGCCAAGTCTGAGTGAGCTTCAATTCCTATGGCAAGCGCCAAGGAGTCCCCCGTGGCATCGGCTTGGGCACTTTCGAACTGTTGAAGGGATCGTGCATGTCTACAGTTTCCTTTCAGCCCTACCTGGCCCAGCGTAACCCGAAGTTCGGTGGATGTGCAAAACCGGGCGAAAAGCTCAACAAACAACTCTAGAACAATCGTTAGACCGTGAGACCAACGTCCACGATTCTTCCTGCGACTCTAAGTTCCCCTCCCCCCTGCTCATGAACTCTATGACGATCTGCATAATCCATAACATAGCCGATCAGAGATCAGAGGGTGTTGTCATGTAGAATATGTACTGACATCCACGCAATGTGAACGCTCTTCTGCGTAACAATTTGAATGGAATTGCTCCTTGGCTACAACTACGGCACAGGTCTAACCAAGCTGCAAAAAGCTCCAAGCCCTACACCCGAAACCCTACTCCAGCCAAACAGCTGTGGATCTGACCTCTGGAAATGACATCTCAGTTTCTCAGGCAATTGCAGCTTTATCCTGAAAGTAGTTTGTCGTCCAAGGTATTCTTTACATAGGCATTCTCCACTTACATCCACCTCGGCGTAGCATTCCTTCGGAGTGGGTAGACCATCGACTCCAAAAAAGCATAGGCAGGCCAGACCGGAATGATGGAAGAACGTGCAGTGCAAGGGTATCCCGTCATTTGAGTTTTCCGTTGCTGCCTGCAGTCCAAGTCTCCCACCCAGGGTCGCACATGAAGCAGATCCTGTCAGCTAGCAAACGATGCTGGAGAAAGCTATGAAGTGGAAGGCAGTGTAGGAAGATCTCTGGGTGCTTCTCAGCAACATACCAGCGGCATACTGCAGCAACGCCAGCAAGCACGGAGCGAACACCTCGCACGTTGGACTTTCAGGAACTTCTCAACTGAGTCTTCCTTTTCCCTCACAGCCGGCAGTCTGCCGCAAGTTTTGCCCGGTGGCTGTTGTGCTGTACTCGACTGCTGCGAGCGCTTCATCCTCGGCTGTATGGAGTTGGTATATGAAAGCCCTGCATCCCAGCAGCACGCTTTGCAAGCAATACTGCCTGCAGCAGCTAGCACAACTGGACCCCTCGTCAATGATTTCCTGTGCAAAAAAACTAGCAGTCCCTACCCCAATGAGCGCAAACTGAGGCCACAACGAAAAGTGCACGCATTTCGTCTTCTGCAATGCAATGCTCAATTACAAACGCAGCACAACAGTTTGCTCACACTCCTTGCTACCAGGTCCTACCACATGGAGCAGTCCATCACGCGCTCTCGCCTGAATACTGGTACACTTTGGTGAGCTGCCGCATAGCCATGCCAGCACCGTAGCTTCCTGAGACCAGGAATCAGTGAATTCAAGGCTGGTGAGACCTCTATACCTCTCGCACCTCTGGTGGGAACGCAGTCCCTTTCCTGGAACACCCAGCAATCGCTCACTTGCACGGGGAAGTGAACTAGGTGTTCTGCAAGCTCAGATACCCTTCCTGAGCATTCTCACGCGTCTCGCATTGGGAGAGCGGCAGTGAAAAGCAGCAGGAGGCTAACCCTGAGCACTTGGAACAGAGAAGCTGTGACCCATGCCACGGGCTGCGATCAGCCTACAGAGCAACAAAGCTACTGGCACGCTCTTAGGCTGAGCACCTGAGCAAGACTGTGACTGTTATAAAGCCAAAGTGGGCCGGCCTTAGCCTTAGGCAAGCCGAACCCAAGCTCAAAATTTGATGAGGCCCTATCCGCTTTAGGGCAAGAAGGGCATCAAGGTGTACTTCGCTGTGGTCGCCGCACACGAACAACTTACATGAAGGCGGCCACGCCAAAAGCTGCATTGGCTTTCCTTGGCTCTTCCAGTATGCTGTGACCCTTTTAACAAGAAAACGATCTGGCCGCGGTCCGAGTATCGATTGAGGAGGCAGAAAGGGCCTCTCGGCCAAGGACTTTGCTGAGGGTGGTTCTTGGGTCATGTAATCCTCGAACTCGGAGATAGGCTGGGAAAAGCGCGAATTGAACAGTCGCTCCTCTTCTACTGTCGACACGCTTCGGCCCTTGTTGTCATGGCCCGGGCAGACAATAGTCTCATCCGGCAATGTCAGAATCTGTCTCCGAACAGATTCCTGCAGCTTCCTGAGGTTGTGCCTCTGGTAGTCTCTCTTGGCACCGCCACGCACCCATAGCGTGTCGCCTGTAAAAACGAAAGCTGCAGTGCCTGTTTGAAGCGTGAAAGCCATGCTCCCATCATTCAGCCCAGGCGTCGCTCGGACCTCCATGGCCAGCTTCCCAAACTTTATCACCTCCCCATTGCGCACCCGTCGATCTGCCAGCTCAGCATGACTGAAGGCTGTGGAGACCAAGATCTGCACATCATGCTGATCTTCCCTGAAGTGGCGTTTCACCACACCTGCCAGAAAGGCTCGAGGCTTGCTCTACTCTGTACTCTGTACTAGTACTGTAGCAGACTACTTGGAGAGTAGCTGGCTTAGTAATCCCCCAGAACAGGGCTGCCTGCGCTGGAATGTTCCTGCCCATCATGCGTGTAGATGATATACTTGAGTCGAAGGCCCAAATCCTGCACACGCGCGTGGCTGCCAAGGCACTGGTGCAATCAAAATTAGGCCTATCAATTCTTCAGCATCTGAGCTTCGAAGCCCTGCAGCATGCACAAGCTGGTCTTCATCCTCTTTTGTCCTTAAGTGGTCTCTACGGAAGGCTTGCTCACTCTCACCCCCCCCCGAGACCCCTTTCTTGAAGGCGAGCTGAGACTGCACTTGACAGCTAGGCTTACAGTGAGGCCAGGATGAGGTTGTGTGTTGGGGGCATATCATTCACTGAAGGGCGGTCGTCCTTGAGGACACTCAGGTCGCGGTCTACCTGCCCAAGAACCTCACCAATGTGACGCACAGCAACTCATACACCACATGTCTACAACTCGACACTGGGTCCGATGCATACACAGCGAACGCACCATCAGGGTGCTTCCCAAAAGCAGTACTTGTAGTACCCTGCACCCGCAGTCGGACGAGCAGCCGGGTCGATCAATACCGCCTCTCTGCTTTCTGCACACCGAACCAAATATGTGAGTGTGTGGCTCCTTGGTGCATATACGACTCTCAAGCGAACTCAAACAAACAAGCTGGCTTTTGACCGCGGCGGTAGCTGTCTGTTGACCCAACATATCCAAACAGCTAGCGCAAGCTGACACCCAAAGCCTTGTTGCCGCCTGGAAGCTGTGGGTCCCAGAACTGCAGCACCTGCAGTCATGGTGTGCCATATCTGATGGAGCAAGTAGCAGGCTAACCCATGCCTCCGGCGCGTGCTCGATCAGCGGTCCGTGGAAACCTGCCGGGGAAGCACAGTGGTATAGTCCCCCTTAAGTAGATAGAATATGGGGTATATGGGGATCTTACTATAATATACCCAAAGCCATATTCTATCTACTTAAGGGGGAATATAACCCCAATATATACCCTATTATAATATAGTAGTTTCCATGTTCTTTTCCATTATCCCTATATAACCCCAATAATATACCCTAATATTCTATCTACTTAAGGGGGACTATATATGGTC